TTTTCCTCACTTTGTAAAAGTTGTTGTTGTTATGTGCCATCGAGTCACTTGTGACTCACAGCGACCCTGTGTACAAGAACCCCAAACGCCGTTCAATCCTATGCCAACCTCGCCGTCTCAAACACACTCATTCCCACCAATCCACTCACAGAATCGATCCATCTCGTCAAGGGTCTTCCTCTCCTGCACCGTCCCTCCACTTTCCAAAACATGATGTCCCTGTCCAAGGACCAGTCCCTCCTTGCAACATTCCCAAAGTATGTCAGACGAAGCTTCAGAATCCTTGACTCCAAGGAGCACTCTGGCTTCACCCTCTCCAGGACAAACCTGTTTGTTCTCCTAGCAGTCCATGGTGTATTCAGCACTCTTCTCCGGCACCACAGCTCAAAGGCATCAATTCTCTTTGTCATCCCTATTCACTGTCCAACTCTCCGATGCATAGCACGTAATTGCGAAGACCACAGCCTGGATCATGCACACCTTAAGTCTCCAGCCTGACGCAGTTGCTCTTCAGTACATTAGCAAGGTCTCTAATCGCAGACTTTCCCATCGCACATGTACCTGAAATAATTTACCTCCTCTAAATCAGACTATAAAGCATCTATGAGACCAGCAAAATTTTAACAAGGTCTTTTTCATTAAAGAATAGAACAAAGTCCAGAGCAAGCAATCAAAAGAAAAAGCAAACTACAGTTAATAAATCAGTGACCTTGTTAAAGAGAAGATTAATATATGAGCATAAGCCCCTGAAAATTTGAGTATAATCTGTTTTGAATTAAAAAAAAAATATCAGCATATCTGAGACTACATGAGACAAAAGCAATATATTAAATGTACCTTACAGTTTAAAAAAATTTTTGTTGTTAGGTGCTATCGTGTCAAATAAGACTCAGTGTGACAACAGATCTGAACTCTGTCCTAACCTGTTTCATCTTCACCATCTCCAACACACCTGAGTCACTGTGTCAATCCATCTTGTTAAGGGTCTCTCCCTCTTTCACTGACCCTCCACCTTTCTAAACATGATGTCCCTTTCTGAAGAATAGCCTCTCCTAGAAAAATGCTCTAAGTATATGATATGAAACTTGATCATCTTTGCCTCCAAGGAGAACCCTGGCTGCACTTCTCTCAAGTCATATCTATTTGTTCTTATGGCAGTTCACGGGCTATTCAGCACTCTTCTCCAACACCACAATGCAAAGGAATCAACCCTCCTTCTTTCATCCTTATTCACGGTTTAGTTCTAAGAGGCATAACAAATAATTGAAAAGATCATGGCCTGAATCAGACACACCTTAATCCGCAAACTGGTATCACAGCTCCTCAATAATTTTGAGAGGTTCTTGACAGCAGACTGTCCACTGTAATGTGCCCTGACCTCCTGACTGCTAGTATCAAGGGTAATGATTGTGGATCCAAGCAAGACAAAATCATTGACAACTTCAATCTTTTCTCTATCTATTTTGCCTATTGGTCCAGAGGTGAAGATTTTGATGGTGACATGAAATTCTATTGAAAGCTGTAGTCTTTGATTTTCTGCAATGTTTCAAGTCCTCCTCACTTTAAGCAAACAAGCTTGTTTCATCTCCATAATAGACTGATGATAGGTCTTCCTCCTATTCCAATCCCACATACTTCTTGAAAGAGTACAGATTCTCAAATGATTTGTTCGCATACAGATTAAGGAAGTAAGGGAGAAAGAATATTACCTTGATGTACACCTTTCCTAGTTTTAAACCATGTAGTTTCTTTGCTCTGTTCAAAATAAAAAGATGACCAATTTAAAAAAAAAATAGCTTCTTGATATTGATACAGGTTTCACATGAGCACAATCAAGTAAGTGTTCTGGGATCCCATTCCTTTCAATGTTATCCACAGTTTGTTATGATCCACAGACAAATGCCTTTGCATAGCCAATAAAGCACATTCTTCTGGTAGTCTCTGCTTTTCCACCTTCTATTAGATCACTTTTTTTTAGATCACCTTTCTTGAGAATAGGAACAAATATGGATCTTTTCCAGTCAGTTGGCCAAGTAGCTGTCCTCCAAATTTCTTGGTATAGACTGGTATGACCAGAGCTGCATCTGTTAGCTGAAAACTGTTAATTGATATTCCATCAGTTTCTGGGGCCTTATTTTTTTGCCAGTTTCTTCAGTGTAGCTTGAACTTCTTTCTGGTTCATATAGTACTTTCTGAAATATTTCAGTGTCAACCAATTCTTTTTGGCATAGTGACTGTGTATTCTTTCCATCTTTTTCTGATGCTTCCTGTATCATTTAAAATGTTGTCCACAGTATCTCTCAGCACAATTATCTCAGTACCTCTTAACAATTTATGGCTCAAACTTTTTCAACTTTAGAAATGTTGTGTCAAATTTTTCCTTTTTTATTCTCCAACTCCAGCTCCTTGCACACTCTATTTTAACTTTTTTCTTTACCTTCTCAAAGCTGCCTTTTTAAATCTTCTGTTCACCTTCTCTGGCTTTCACCAAATTAAAATCAGCATCTAATGACTAAAAATTATTCTCTTAAATATTCTTGTTTCAAATATCCTATGCAAAATGTTCAAAGCCATGATCTCTCTAAACTGCTTCCTGGTAATTGTTAGGATGTTTGTCAGTTTTTAAGCAAGTCAACTATTTAAAACATTATAGTATCAGAAATCAACTGTTTTATATATAGCCTTTAAGAACTAAGGAAATTATTTCTTTTCCTAGAATACTGAACCACCATTTTGTCAAAACAAATGACTATACAGTATTAACGTGTATACAGTAAATTCATCTTTTTTTTTTTTTTAGTAAATTCATCTTACCAAACTGAAGTAAAAGATCATCTTCTAACACTGGCTTCAAATAGTCTTCTTTCTCCCAAGGCACTGGGTTATATATGGAATTCATATACTCAACTGTAGGATTCTAGATGTGAAATTAATTGTATGTTATTCATTGTACAGAATCACAAAATCTCCCTAGGAAAAACCTGAAACATTAAAAAAGGCAATTTCTCTACATTAATCAAAATCAGTACTTCTTAAATAGTAAGTCTGTATTCACTGCATTTTATTCACTTGTTTAAATAACAGCTCCAACATAGAGTTTTATACTGCCTTGATTTGGGGAAAGTGATAAATAAGACATTCAACTACACAGAACAAAAAAAAAGACAATCATCAAAGTATTTGAAATTACACTAGAAATGACTCCTGATTTCATTCAAATAGTGTTTTGCCTATATTCTCCATTTATTCCTAAGACATTCTATTTACTGTGTTTTTGTGTCCTAAGTTTGAAATCTTTAATTGGATCTATGAATAGCAAGAACTCAGGCAGTGCAGAAAGATGTGATGCTCTGCTTCTGTGAAGATTACACCTTGGAAATTCTGTGGGGCCAATTCTACTCAGCACTGTTGGGTAGCTATGAATTGATGCTCAATTTGACAATATACATATCCAGCTATGAATCGGTCTTTAAGATTAAGGAATAGGTCATCTGACACTGAATTCCTTTTCACCTAAGAATGATTCATTCACCTTAGACAAATTGACACTGCTAAAAATGACCCCCAACTCCCATCTATACATGTCTACTCAGTGCTTTATGTTGTACTAGTTTCTAACGCCTATAATCTCCTGTGAGATGAATGCCAAATTCAAGTTTCTTCTTTTTGTTTTAAATAGTCAGTGTACTGACAATCACTATTTCTTTAGTTTCTACACAGTTATAACTTAAGCTACCAACTTACCTTAAGTCTAATAAAATTTATTAGCTTAATGTAGCCATAAAATTCAAGTCCTAAAGGGGAAAAGAGAAAAAAGATAACAATTTTAATACATCATGACTTTTGTCAAACAGACCTGTTCTATAAAAAGTAGACTCTGGTTATAAAATATTTCTATCCTTTCAATCACTACGTATAATAATGTCAATTATTTTCCTTAGAAAAATTGTTGTTGTTGTTGTTGTT